AGCCTCGGAAACCCTTTGTAGGGTCACTATGAGTCAGAACCAACTCCATGGTACTTAACAACAACAACAACAATTTTGTCCTGTAATCTACCTGACCTTCTCACCACCTGGATCTCTGTTCCTCTGTGTTTACCTTCTTTCACATTGTAGTTGTTTTGATCATAGACAGACCTCCCAGATCCTCTGTTCTTATATTCTGTTCTTGACTCTTCCATTTGTCAATTGAATTCAAGGTGATGCTGCTACATACGCCATTCTCTGGTTGTTGTCTGTTCTTGTTTGTTCTCAGTTCACAGAACTTCCTTTAGGATGTTTTTCATAACAGGGTTGGCTTTGCCAAAATCCCTTACCTTCTGTTTATCCTGGAATGTTTTGCTTAAACACTGATACTAGTTCTTTGGAAATGATCTGCGTTGACATTAGGTCTTTCATCTTGTTGTACGTGGCTTCAGAACCTAGGGAAGCAGTACCAGAAGTCGTCCTGTTCCAAGCCCTAGGCAGATCCAGGATCCATGGCTCATCCCAGTCCTCCAGTTGAGAGATCACCTCAGGTTTGGGGAACTGAAATCCCAAGAAGATCATACTTCTGTAATTCTCCATCATAACATCTCTGTAGAGGTACTTTTGGGCCCAGTCAAGGTTTTCCCACTCCTCTCTGGTCAAGAACAAAGCCACATCCTCAAATGATAGCAACTTCCAGCTGGCTTTCTGGAGCACAGTTTCCATAGCCTGGTCTTTGAGACAGGGCAGGATTCCAGTGTTCAGGCTGCGGTGGCCACGGGTGCTGGGTTCCCCTCTCCGGGTAACACACCTGATGGGTCAGTTCGTCGATCCTCTTTTCATCTTCACTCAAAGGCTAGATAGAGGGCAAGAACAGAGAAGTATTGCAGCTTCCATGTCTAGTGGCCTCCAGCATTTTTCATGGGACTTACTTCGTATCTTGGAATGTTTTGATTACACTATCACATTTGATTGACAGCTTTGCTAGGTAGAGGATTCTTGGTCAGCAGTTTTTCTTTCAGGGTTTTATATATGTCTCCCCATTGCCTTCTTGCCTGCATGGTTTCTGTTGAGAGATCCGAGCTTAATCTGATTTGCTTGCCTTTGAATGTTACACTTCTCTTTTCCCTAGATGCTTTCAGGATACTGTCATCATCTTTGATTTGGAGAGCTTGATTATTTTATTTCTTGGTGATTGTCTTTTAGGGTCTATCCTTCCTGGGATTCGTTGAGCTTCTTGAATGCTTATCTTTTCGCTTTTCAGGATGTTAGGGAAGTTTTCTTCCAGAAGCTCTTCAACTACTTCCTCTGTGGACTTGTGTGATCTTCCTGTTCCAGAATGCTGATAATTCTTAAGTTATTCCTCTTCATGTTGTCCAACATGAATCTTAG